CGAGGCTGCGCCTGCCGCTTCCCTGGGGAGAGCTTCCTTTCACGGGTTAGCCTGGGAAGAGCCAGGGGCTCCTGTCCTCCAGCACATGCTGGAGACGTACCCGTCCTCCTCCTGCCGTCCACTGTCAGGGGCGCACGGGGAGCTCCGGTTTTAACACCTCTGTGTATAGCAGACTGGGGTGTAGCTGTACCCCTCGCTCTGCTGCCTCGGCATGGAAGCACTGGTCTGCGCAAACATAACAAACACAATAAATGAACTGTCAAAAGCTCATTTAGATTCGTTACCGGAGTTTCATTTGCTTATGTGAAAGGGAAAATGCAATGACAGTTGATTGTGCTGCACCCCGGTGCAAGGGGAAGTTTAACCCTGAGAGACCGGCCGGCTGTGGCCTGTGGTTCCGCGCTGTTTCTGAAGTGATCGCTTTTGGTCAGTTGTTGCTTCATGCCGTTTTAAGCTGATGTTGCAAGTTTGCAGTGGAACAAATCTTTATGTGGTTTTGGTTATTTTTATTACTGGAAGTCATATCCAAAGAGGAATCATAAAGTGCAAAGTAACATCAGTGTGGCAGACTTTGGAAAACTGTGCTGGATTCTGTTGTGTTGGGATTAGATAATCTCCACGCTGCACATACTCACTCTATTCCAGTTTACACAAATGAAGAAGTTGTCATAATTGTTTTTCAGCTAAACATTTAGAAGTTTTTTGATGTCACATTTTCTTGTCACATTGGTGAAAAAATGCATTCTGTGTAGCTCTTTAATTTTTCCTGACTTGCTCTCCCTTCCTGTTTTTATCTTCTACTGTCTTTGCCTGTTCCCAGCTCAGTAGGCTTTATTTAACTTGTTGGCATAGAAAGTAACACTAATAATATGATGTTGTTTGAATTATTGCTACTATAGTTGCGATAATAGATGACTGGAGTCATGTCTGCTGTTTGAATGACATATACTTGGGGTTCAAGTGCATGAAGAAGTGCTGGGAGTTAATGCAGACCTTAGTTTTATCAGGGAACAGCTGATGTGCTCTCACTGCCTGTGAGCATGATCTCGCCTATGATAAACACAGGGTAAGAATCTCTGTGTGAGCAGTTCTCACAGAGCAGCAGATGTGTTGTAAGGTTATGTCCTGGCTTGCTTTGTGGTGGTTCATTCCTTTTTCTTACTTAAGAGATTAATTTCTTAGTCATCACAGAAATTTTAACCAAATCCTTCTCTCCAGATTCTCTGTGATTTCTGTCATGTAAGTCTCCTGTAAGTCTCTCTAACTTTAAATGCAACAGATGCTTGATAGTTCTTCAGGAAAGCTGAATTTCTGGCAGTTGTTAGGGGTTCCAGCTACCACAGCATGTTAGGAAAAACAGGGATGCAGTAACTCCCACTAGTTTCAAATGAACTGAGCATCCTCAAGACTTACGTGAGAAACAGGAGATTGGTTGTTTTTCTGTTGAGTGTCACCATGCTTAGTAAAAACTGATTCTTACTTCTTTTCAGAATAATTTCAAAAAAGACTACAGAACAAGATTCTGCCACAGAGGAGGGTAATTTACATTTAAAATTTTATTCTTAGATACGATTGTTTGGAAAACTTATGTTGATTTATGTCTGAGAGCTTAATGTCTATTTGGTGTACCTTATTAAACTGATCACATGATGTTTCACAAACGTCTTGTATTTCTTAGTGGTGGGAGGAGCAAATTGTGCTGGGGGACAAAACCCCAAGGATTTCCTCTGTACTCCTCTGCTGAGGCAGCAGACTGGGGTGTAGCTGTACCCCTCACTATGCTGCCTGAGCATGGAAGCACTAGTCTGTGCAAACATTTTGCCTTTCAGGAGGTAGAGAAATGAAGCCCATGCTGTCAGAAGTCCACAAGTTTTTTTTTTTTTTTTTTTTTTTTTTTTTAGTGGAATCCATTTTTGGACATGCATTTAATGGGCTTACCAAATAAACTGTTTGTAAAGGCATATAATAATAATTAATGGATAAATACTTCATGGCTTTTCTGAGGAGGTTTGAAATAGTGATCCAAGCAGCTGAACTGTTCACTTGCTTATGGATTTGATACCTCAAGCCAATTCTTGCTGCTGAAACTTCTGTAGAAGCACAGAATAACCGTGGATAAGTGCTAGAAGGAGAAGCAGAGGGTGACTCCTTGTATGAAGGGATAGATGTGCAGCCTTCATTTCTGGGCCTGCTGAGACTGGATCACTGTGCAGGCAGCATTACTTGAGGACTGATTTTTTTAATAAATGATTTCAAGCGAGAATCTCTGTTCATCCCGGAGCACGTTCACCTGAGGGCTGTTGCAATAGTTGTTGTATGTGACAGTGGAGCTTTTCTTCTTGCAGTCCTTATTTGGACAAGTTTCTTTGCAGCTATCTGTGCATCAAAATGGTAGGTAAAATATATTCAAGTTGACACTAGTGGAAATAACAATCTAAAAAAGCAGTAAGAGCTTCACTACTTTTATATTGCTGGGATAGGAACATTTAGTATTTTTAATTGAAAATATCTTTTTTCCCCCCTTTTCTTTCTAGAAATAAGTTTGATGTACGGCCAGGTGAAGACATACTGAAAACCATATATGATTGTTTTGAAAGTAAGCTTTTACTTGGTGTTTTGCTTTTCTGGTTAAAGAAAAAAAATCTTCCTTGTATTATATTTAGTAATAAATAAATAGAATTTAAAAATAGACATAAAATGGATAAAGTCTCACAGTCTTTAAAAGCACCCTCTTCTCCACTGTTTAAAATTGTGTCTTAGCTGTCTTATAAAGGTAATCTTTTTTTCAAGTAGCTGGTTTCTTTCTTGTTTGGATTTACATGACTTTAATGAGCCTTAGCAACTTGTTAAAATAAATGAAACCTGGACAATTCCAAAAATCCCTTATTTATAGTTTTTTCTTAATAGATTGTGAAAATGATCTTACAATAAGCTCTCCAAGTGCAATCTGTAGCTCAACTCCTGTTGACAGAAATGCAAAGGGGACTTCAGTACAGAGCCAAAGGGTAAGTTAGTTATGGCAGTGTCACAGCGTAGCGTTGGGTGCAGTTTCACCTGGGTACAAGTTTAGTTCTGTAGGATTTAATTCTGTATGAGTGTTGAATGGATAAGCTCCATGTGTCACTTGTATTAGTACACAGGCTATAATTTAACCTAATGTAATAGTTGTTGGGAGTGTTTTGGGGTTTTTTTGCTGTGCTCTAATGTTAAATATTCTGTAACTAGATTTATTTAATAGCTTATTTTCTTGTGGTTTTGCTAATGAAAGCTTTTCCAGCTTTTTATCCAGGATAGTTAAATTTCTCATGGTCTCAGGTTGAAGCACACTGCCTTATAACTGGTGGTGGGTATGGCTCTGTGACTCACTCCATTGGGGTTGGTTTCAGTCACTTTGCCACATATATGGACACAGTTCTTAACTGTTCAATGGACAGTAAAATTGAAAGATGATTCTTGTATGAATATTTGTTGCAGCTTGTCAACTCCTGATAAACAACTGTTATCTCTACAATAACTTGGTGTGTCTATAACTTAGTTGAAGAGTGCAAACAAATTGAAGGACTTGTTAATGTGCTGTCTGAGAGAATGATGCCAATAATCTAGTTTGTATATGTAGTTTTAATATTTTGATTCTGGTAGTTTTTTGTAAAAATGGGATATTCTATTAATGGCAGTGTTGAAAACAGGCATCCTTATAAGTGTTTGTTTACTTTAGTCTGATGTTAGAATACTGTATAATCTCAAAGTAATTCTTGGAAAACCTCATTCTGACTTAATAAAGGTGAATTAAATTGCTTAAATTTAATTCATTCTAATGAAAAGAGTAAATAGCTTGCCTGTGGACTAGTTGGATGTCTGTTCAAAGCTGCAAATTGATTTTTACTTTACACACTGTTTTACCTGTTGTTTGAAATTTACAGTTAGTTTAGAAAGTCTTATGTGATAGAAAATGGAAGTGTTTAGTTAAAATAGAACTGAATGAGTAAGAATTAAGGGAAGGAAAATATACTGTGTTCTGTAGAAATTCATATTCCTGACAAAACACTATTGCTTTGTCTCATTATTCATTATTGACTGACAGCAAAAGGCAGGGTTAATTAACTCTGTGAAAAGAGCCTGTAATTCTGCAGAATCCTTACCTGCATCACCACTAAAACCAGTCAACAGCAGAGGTTGGTAGCACTATTATTGAATTAAGTTTTTTTGACTTACTATTTCTTGGGATTTTTTAAGGTTTTGAGTAGAAGAATTAAACCCATTCTATCTGTATGGCAGGATGGTCACATGAATCGCCCCTGCAGCCTGCAGTACGTGATTACCTAGCTGATTCTAAAAAACCAAAATCTCCTGTGTCTGAAAAAGAAACAAATAATATATTAAAAAATCTTGAAACACTATGCAAAAGTCCTTCCATGTCTCCGGAACCTGAGGATGATTATGGGTCTGTTGGATCACCTCTTCTTGTGGAGGAATTGAAAAGTTCTCCTGTGCATAAGTAAGTAGAGCTGAACCTGGTGGTGGTGGTGTGATGTTCCCACCCACTCCTTAGAGTAAATTGACATCGTGGTTTCAGTCATTTATGAGCTTGGATTGTGAACTTATAAAAAATAATTCCAGGCTTTTTAGAAAATGTCCATATCTGGGTTTAGAAAGACCAGAATTGTCTTTTATTAAATATTCAGATGATAAGGGTTAAATCCCAGAAGTGCAGTACTCAAGTGCAGGAAGCCTGTTGGAATAGATTTGAACTCCTTTTTTTTGCAGGAAAATGCCCCACATTATCAGCTTCTCAGATAGTCTGTCCTTTTTCAGTGAATCCTATTGGCAGTGTTGATGTTTAAAGTTAATAAAAAATTTGTTAAAGCAGAGATGAGCAGTCATTATTCCTCTCACTCTGAATATACAAATGTTTTATACAAAGTAGAGCAACTTCAGTTGTGATCACTGTCTCCTCTTTGGAAAACTTGAAGCCCAGCTGCCATAGTGGCCAGTGGTCCCAGCCACAGTTTTGCTTTCCTGGAGGAATGAATCGCTGGGGTAGATCATAGGGAGGGACTGACACTGATCCCATTGACTCCCATTGGTGGAGTGAGATTGAGAAGAGAGTGCTCCTAGGGTCTAGGAAACCTGCCAATTTCTGAAGCACATTCTCCTAAAATTAGGAATTTCTCTTGCTGAGCAGCTCTCACTTTTGATCAAGAGTCACAAACTGGCCCCATGTTGCCTCATTGATTTGGACACCTGCTACTGTGCTGGGAAGTACTGTTAACCTGTGTTCCAGCAAATTACCAAGTAGAAGCTCATGCAAGCTCTCACTTTTGATCAAGAGTCACAAACTGACCCCATGACACCTGCTACTGTGCTGGGAAGCACCGTTAACCTGTGTTCCAGCAAATTACCAAGTGGAAGCTCATGCGTAAGAAGTGAGACACTGTCAGCAGGAGAAAATGAGAGCATCTGTCCATCCACACGATACTTTAATGTGCACTCAGGATTCATAGGGTCATATCTGAATGCTGTTTCTCATACACAGATTACACTTTGATGACCAAAATACTCCTGCTGCAGTGAAGAGCCAGGTGGAAGTTGAAAATCTGGCAGGACCTCGGACTGGGAGGGATGAGCAGGTTGTTCTTGTGCAAGGAGCAGAACGTATTGCTACATCTTCTGTACAGAAAGAGAAGTCTTTCTCTTCAGTCATTGTAGCAGCTGTAGCAAAAGGAACGCTTGGAAAAAGGTTTGTTTTGAGGCTTAATATGGAACATAATTGCTAGTAAAATAACCTAGTCCTGAGTACTGGAGAAACATCCTTTTTTCTGTAAAAATGGTCTGGGAGGATGTTTTGGGATAGTGCAACATTACTGAAAAATGCCACTTGAGAAAGAGTTTGAATAGTTGTTTCAAAGTTTTGTGCTGTTAGGATCTAACACTGCTGCTGTTTTTGTCTGCCACTAAAATAGCATGTAGCTGTTGAATAGGGTTTCAGATTGAGCCTGAGATGTTTTGATGGATAGGCTGGAGGATTCAGGAAAACCTTACATGATTCCGAAGTTAGCAGTGATCAAGCAGTCTTTTTTCAGAACTAATAATGGATCTGGCTGGTTAGATATGAAGTTGACTATCCAGAATCTGAGAAAGAAGGAGGTGTAAATACGAGGTCAAAGCAAGGAGAAGCAAGCCTTGCGCTCTTTTTGGAAGCTGAAGGGCAGTGAATGATGAACTTTACAATAATTCTTCCGAGGAATGTCCTGTAGTGTGTTTAGGTGTTCTAGAGTCACCACTAGGTTGGCAAGCTTGAAAGTCACTTTTTTTTCCCCCCTAAATGATGTGAATACTTTGTCCCTCCTTTCTTTAGGTACTCAGCCTCAATATCACCGCCATCACCTCCTCCTGTGAAAGATCAAGATACAGAAATAGAAAATGAATGTGAATTTTTAATTGATGAATCAGATGGTGTATCTTTTAATTCTTGGTTTTCAATACCCCATAAAAACAGAAAATCAAAAAAAGATGGCTCTGCAACTCCTGTTTCTAAAGCTCAGCCCTCTGGAAAGGAGAAGACGGAGAGTAAGAAAGGCAAGAACAGAAAAATACACGTTGAAGCACTTACTAAAAAGAAAGCGGATGATTTGGATGTCAGAGTACATGAGTTCAGAGGAACATCAGAATTAGATCCAGTCTCTAGCAGTGAAGGAGAGGTCCTCAAATCTCGAAGGCAAAACAGTACTTACATGGGTAAGTTATTGAACAGCTCTTCAGACTTCTCCTTCCAGGTCATGTTACTGGATTTTTTGTGGTAGTTTATTGGGAAATAAGGTTAAAGTAGATGGGAGACACAAATGGATTCCTAATTGATGCTTCAGATGCACAGTTAGGTGGTTTGGGTGTATATAAGGCGGTGAGACAGAATGTCTTCACTCCTTGCCACCCTGCCCCCACAGCGTTTCCTGTTAGGACATTAAAAATTAAGTTAGCAATATCGCCTTTTCTTATGAGCAGACAAAGAAGGTAGATACCCACAGACTTTTGCTCCTTTCTCTGTAGAAAGGAGGTTATGTGCTTTGAACTGGAGGGGATCAGTTTTTAGGGATTATTTGAGGAGGGTTTTGTAGCAGGAAGCACTGAAAACTGGAAAGCATATTGAATGTAATATTTATGCCCTTTTTTCTGCTAGGAAATACTGGAAGTACACCAAAAATTCTGGTTTGAGTTTTTCATACACTATAGTTCAGAGAAAGCCTCCTTTTAATCATCAGGGAAAAGTCTGGTTTTGTAATACTTTTTTAAAAAATTTATTCTTTGGTTTATTTTTATGCATTCAGATGTCAACATGTATCTTCATGTTTAATGGGAAAAGATATTAATGTCAAAGTGTTTTGTGTATTGATAGGAAGGGCTAAAAAGGATACACCTCAGCAAGGCTCTCCAAACCAGTGTAAGGACACATCCTGGAAACCAGAAGCCGAAGAACTGATGTTGTCATGGTCTGGACTGGAAACAGAAGCATCTGATGCAGAACATTGTAAAACAAAGGTGATGCCAAGTAAAGATTCACCTGTGCCCTCATCTGATGCAGAACAATGTAAAACAAAGGTGATGCCAAGCAAGGATTCACCTGTGTCCTCATCTGGGCATCAGGAAGAGCAGACTGTGTCTCCAAAAAAGAATATCAAGTCTTCCAAGTATCTGCAGTTGTGGCATTCTGTTCACAAGAAACAAACTACTAAGCAGAAACTTCCAAAAGATACAGTGCCTAAGAGACTGGCAGAAAGTCCGAAGAAGCAGCTTAAAAAATCTGGCAAGAAAAGTGGTAATAAAAAGCCTCAGTTACAAAGAGAGGAGAGTTCTGACAGTGAACCTGCTGAAGAAGAGCTTGAAAGAGAGCCTGTGAATTTGAATGAGGTGTTTACCTCGCCCCTGCATCAGAAATTACAGACTTCTGTGAAGTTGGCTAAATCTGAAAAGCCTAAAAATGTATTGCACACATTGGAGTCACTTAGTGGTGCAAATAACAAAACTCCTGTAAAAGCACTGCAGCATCTCTTAGAGAGCGTGAAGCATTCTGAAAAGAAGCGATTGTCAGCTGAGTCTCCAGGGAAGAAAGGCCAAAAGATTCATCGCAGAACTAGTGAAGGTGTTTGCTCGAACCCTGAGGACACCGAGTCTCAAATGGATTCTGACAACTCTTCTGTACAGGACGTGGCAAGAAAAAAACAGAAGTTATCAGATGTGAAAATAAAAAGTAACAAAAGAAAACGTAACGCACAACGTGGACTACAGTAAGCTTTTTATGTAATTCCTTACAAGTGTGGTATAACTTGGTAGGTAATTAAACACATCTTGTTAACTTTTAAACAATAATGGCCCAATTGAACTATGTGACAGTTTCAGACTGGTTGAATAGCTAATAGAGAAACCAAGTGGTGCAAATCAACAACCTGTTCTCACGGGTGAGTGCCAAATCTTGTGTCTGCTTCTACATAAGGAAACTTGTGCTGGAATTTTTAAAGTGTTCTTTTGAGACTTGAGTGGCAGATCCAGTTTAAGAACAAAAAAAAGACACATATGCACACACAACCCCACCACCTGTAGAGTAACTTCACTGTCAGGTTTGTTTCTTTGTTTATAAATTGAGAAAATACAGTGATTAGTTCTTCAGATATATTTATTTTTGTGGGAGTGACTTTACTAATGATTGGTAATCAAAAGAGAAAGTTTCTTTAACCAGTCTGAGTTTTTAATCACTGTTCTTTGCATTGCTTTTTAATTTTTTTTTAAAAAGTCTTTTTTATGGTTCTGTTCAGTACATAGAATTATCGACCTATTTACCTTTCAGTAAATAAAACTGACATAATGTAATAATATTTTTTTTTTTTTTCTAGAGATTCCTTTGCAGTTGAGAAGGCTGTGGAACATGAAAGGTAATTTCCTGAGTTGTCTGTAAAACTTGCATTTAATCCCACTTCTGCCCCACTGAGACAGACCAGCTGTTTGGTGCTACTGCTGCATTCTGATAGCAGGGAACCTAGTGGAACAGGGATTGTGATTCATGTCTGAGGTGTTTAAATACTGTACTGATACATTTAATAAATTAATAAAATTCTTCTTCCTGTCATGAATAAGGGGTCATAATAGGTTTCCTGCTCTTGGGGATTTATTTTTTTTTTTTCCTTTGAGGCTTGCTTTCACTTTAGTGTGTGATTTTTTCAAACAGAAATACCAGTGCTCCTAGAAATAACGACAATTGTTCTAATAAAATTGCTGTTACGTATAGAACTGTATCTGCAATCCAAACTCAAACGTTTGTGCACATAGATATGCACGTATCTTCTTCATTGGATGGGAACTTAACACAAAGCAAACAGGAGTGGCAGTCTGTGAATTTATTAAATTCTTATGTTGTAGCTACCAAAATTTTTATTTTTTTTATTATAAGTGAGCCTACTGCAGACTTAATTGGACAAATTTGTAGTGTAGGTTTGCTAATTTATCATTGAAATGCATCATTTGGAGTTTAGGTGGGTCACAGCCGAACTTCATTGGCATGGTAAAAGCAGTGAAGCGCAGCCACTGATGGGAGAAGGAGGAAAGGCCAGGGGTCCTACTGCTAAGATTGTAAGAGAAGTCCTGTTGTAAGTGATTTTTTTGCTAGAGGATGTCTGGCGGAGTTACATACATGTTAATTATTGTAATTATTGTAATTTTATGAGGAAGATTCTATGACAGGATACAAATTACAATTTACAAACTATTTCACTGTCCTTTCCTTACGGTATCCAGAACGTTTCTTAAAAGCACTTCTGTAATCATGGTCTATGGAAAATTGTTTGAAAGGTAATGCTACAGAGGAGAGGAGAAAGTCTCTCTTCTGGAAGGCAGGAAAAAGAAAAGGTAGTTTCAAGGTATTTGGGAAACTTGTTTAGAGAGAAGGTGTGCACACTAGTTTGCCTGATGAGTGAGTAGAGGGACCACTGATGAATTTCAGACCTGTGATTCCTAACTAGTCATTTGCTTCAGTGTCCGATTGGTACAGACAGATGTTTAGAAAGCAAAGAAAATCCACTCCACATGTTCTGAAAAAAACTTAAATTTGCCATTCTTGGTAGTGCTGTAACGTTCCTTTGACATTTAACGTATTCAAGCAAGCGTATTTTTTTTCTCTTTGCAGTGGGCCTGTTCTAGAACATTGTGATAAATTTGCTTCCAGAAGTCGGTCTAGTGAACAGGATAATACATCTTCAGGTAATGTTTAAAGTTTGATATTTTCTTACATTTTATGTATAAGCTTCTTATAAGCTGTAATTGATGGTACAGTAGCCTCTGTTGTATTCTGCTTGTCCAGAATAAGAAATGCAGATTGTGTTGGCTGTGGTCACATTTCTGCCCAAGTACGTGATACAGTGTGCCAGCTTTACATTGTATTAGCTTTGGAAGGACAAGCACTGCGTGGTTTGGCATCAAACCTGCCAGGATAAAGTTATCCTTCCAAAATACTTTGCACAAATTTTGCGGACTCAGTTTGTACCAGTTTGGTGTGTTGCTGTGTGATGATACTATAGACGATCACTTCAGGCCCCACTAGACCAAATTGTACAGCCCTATGGAATTGTGGCCTGTTTGCTTAAAAATATTTAATTTTCTCTTAAGTTTCCCCATACAAGTTGCAGGTATTGTCATAATGAATATGAGACTTGGGGACAGAGAGTCTTTTTGTTAGTATTTTAGAGCCAGTTGTGAATGTTATTAGTTCATACAACGCTTTCCTCGGAGACCTAGTTTTGTGTGTGTTCTGGTAAGAAGCTTCTACTAAAGTTAGACTTGGGTAATGTAAAGCCAAATGACCTTGCACTTTGATCAATAAAATTATACACGTAGTTATAATTTGCCAATGTCTGTTTTATCAGAGGATGGGTCTGAGGAATGTATTGTTTTCATGTAATTTTCAAGCTTACACTGTTTAAAAACTATTTACATGTACTGTTTCTCTGCATCGGTTTCATGTATGTTTAAAGATGAAAATGTTCCCACTAACATGGGAACTAACATGATGAAAGATGAAAATGTTAGTGGGAAGAAGAGTGGGACTTCTGCTTGTGTTACCATTGGTTGTTTCTAGTGGGTATATTGAATGAAAGTCAGGCATGGTAAATGTCTATGGTGGTGGTTTTTTGAATTTATTTTCAGATAATTCTGAAGACTTGAATCGTCATCTAAGAGATCTGTTGTCAAACAACAAAGCAAGGCATAAAATAGGTGAGGTTATTTTAACATATCTTAACATAAGTGCATAAATACAAACGCATTAAATACCAACCTGGATGTAAACTTTGCTGAAGGAGGCACAGGAAAACAACTAGAAATGGGTTCATATGTTAATAAATATTTACAGGTAAGGCTTTGTAGTTCTACTCTAACCCTGCTCTAATTTTTAAGTTACTTTTAGAAAGTTTTAGTGTTCCTTTTTTTTATTACTATATTCAGCAATTATCTTTTTACCTGTCACACTTCCAGTTTTCATTTAATATTGAGTCAAGACACTGCTTGCAGTTCAGTGAGAACAATGAGAGTTTGAATTAGTTTTACACAGTGTAACTGAGGGTGCAAGTAACCTGCCTTCTCTGGTGGTCTGAGTCCGGATAGGATGGAACAATGGGCGTGCAGTCGATGGTAGAGCCATACTAGTCTGTTTTTATTGGGTTTTATTTCCTTTGTTATTATTTTATACGCAACACTATAGTTGTCTACCTTCAAAAACTATTTCAACGAGGTTTTTTTATTTACTATTTTTATATTTAGCATTTAAATTATTCTTGACTGTCCTGTTTTTTAGCTGGGACAGAGCTAGGTTTCTTTCTAGTAGCTAGAATAGTGTTGTGTTTTGGTTTCAGTGTGGGATTTGTTATGAGAAAAATGTTGATAACACAGCAGTGTTTTCAGTTGTTGCTGGAAGTCGAAGGACTCTGTGTTTTGCTAGTCTACAGGCGGAAGGTCTAGGAGGATGAGGAATATTTAAATTAATAAGCTAGACTGGTATTTGGATATGCCAGTGGGATATTCCATATCATATAATATATGATATATCATATATATAATGTAATATATTCAGTATATTAATGAGGGTCTCTCTCCTGTGGGTATTTGCTCCCTCTCTGGCTCTTGCATGCACTTTCACTCGTCTGGGATTGCAGTTTTGGTTTTGGGATTCTTGAGCCTCTGAGATCATTATCTGGGAATGGGCCAGGCCTGGTCAGTGGGTGGTGAGCAGTTGCACTGCGTATCACTCATTTCCCTATTTTATATTATTATTAGTTTTATTTCAGTTATTAAATTTTTCTTACCTCAACCTACAAGTCTCCTTACCCCTCAAATTCTCTCCCCTATCCCCTGGGGACGGGGGAGGGGTGGGGGAGAGTGAGCAAGTGGCTGTGTTTGGCTGCCTTATTAACTAATTTGCTCTCAACTCCTAAGGGGCTTTTATTTTTTCTTGCAAACACTGAAAAATCAAATCTTACTGTATTCATACATGGCAGCTTAGAAAAATTGAAAGTTGAGACTATGTAGTAAGTAAGTCTGAAGATAAATATCTGTGTGGGCTATCTATTGGCAAAAGTGCTTCTCTTCTGGACCTTGGAGATGGGACTTAAGAATCTAGAAGCGGAGGGGCTGCTTCTGCAGTCTCTGCTACTCCTCTTGCCGTAACCAAGGCAGTGCCTTTTCACTGTTGCTAATGGAATCCCTTAGATTTGGCAGGTTTCTTAGCCTTGAGAGCTTTGTCTTCACAGCTGCAGCATGTTAACTGCTCCTTGTGCTTGAGCCCCTAATGTCTGTACCTCGCTGATTCACTAAGATACATAGAATGAAACCTAATATAAGGTCAGCATAGTGACTGTTTAAGAAGCAGGAGAGTGAAATACTGATGTATGTAAAAGGCGGCTTTTGGCAATACTTGGTTCCCTTTTCCTGTCATGGTAGCAATGCGATATAAATATAAGCTGGGAAGTGCTGACCTCCTGATATGGAACAACAGGAAAGGATATTTAATGTTTTCCATCTCTGAATTTCCTTTCGTACCTAACGTGACTGATTTCCTCCTTTAAATTAGTGATGCCTTCCAACACACCTAACGTTCGGCGAACAAAAAGGATACGACTGAGACCTCTGGAGTATTGGCGAGGCGAGCGTGTAAATTATATGATGAGGCCCTCAGGTACGAGTTCCAAAATACCTATTTGCTTTCTCCTGGTAGGGCAATAGAGAAAAATCTGTGGGTTGATCTTGCACCATGGAAGCTTTGAGACACTTGAGACACTTTGAGACTTTTTTTTAAATTAGATTATTTATGGTCTCCAGCTACTTAGTCATCTTTCCATGTGGTCTTTTTCTCACCTGATACTCCTGTGTCAGCTGGAAATAGTATCAGCAGAGCAGGTTGCCTTAACTTTTAGGGAAGAACAAAATTATTTATCTGTAGTAGTAGGTTTATTACATCAAAGATTCTGTATTAAACCAGAAAAAGAGACAGCGTCCTGGGTCATACATTGGAGCATTTATCTTTGTGTGGGGATTGTTCTCCAGAGCAGATACTATAGTATTTTATCCACTCTTGGTGTTAAATTCCCTACCTGATAGAATATATCTTGTTCCCATGTATTTTTTCTGACAATTCAGCCAAAGTTGGTCCTTTCCTTATTAATCAGTCTGTTTGAAAATAGTACTTCCTTGTATTCCTAAAATTGGTATTTTCTCTTAAAAATTGACTCTCATGCCATGGCTTTCTGAAATGTTCTTTGACTGAAATATGATCAAATTATTTTCAAAAAGTCTCAAGTTGCTTTGCACTCCAAAATAACATGATGTTGAAAAGCTTTTTTGTTTGTTCTGGCTTTCTAGAGCTATCTGAAAAGTTCATCATCAAGGAGATACGTTCTCAACTGAGATCTTGTTGGCTGTGCAAGTTTGTAAAGTTATTATGAGTTAGTGAACTATGTTTACTTTTGTTTGTTTCAGGAGGGCTTGTGATTAGTGGAATAGTGTGTCCAGAAACAGAACCTCGCAGGAAGATTAGACAGAGGAGGGGAGGTCCCAAGCAGAAGAGAGATGAAACAAGTATGAAGACAGACTTTTTTTCCTTTTGATACTTAAAAGAAAAGATACAAATAATCTGTAATCAGATACTCTATTGCTGTAAGATTTTTCTCCTGTAAAAACTTGATTCTCTGTCTGGGTGAAAATAATTTTATAATGGAATGTATTAATGTGATCTGATGTGGAAGCACCTGGTCTTATTGTATTTATAGTAATGCTGTATAATCTCATTGTAAAAACTTTTAACTTCTCAGCATTAGAAAGGAAGAGTTACAGGACATACCCAGGAAAGTTGTGGTGCCTTCAAAGCAGAGGTTAAAGAAAATAAGCTGTGCTTCTGTCCTTGTTCAACTCATTGATTAGTGATGCTGATGTGCTTAGTTTCATAACAAATAGTTAAGGTATAAAAACCTGTTCATTTTACTGATACCTGTAATATCACATCTGAAAAAGCAGCAGATGCTTTCAATAGAGTTTCAAGCTATTGTAGCTTAAATACAAAAACATAATGAGGTAGGTGAAGAGGGAGCCTTAAGAACAGTGCATAAAGTAGTCAAAAGTGGGCAGTAAATCTCTTTAAACAAACAGGAACAGGAAGCTTTGCTAGAGCCTCTTTGGCCAGTAGGTAATAAATATGTAGGTAGTGCTCAGAAAAGGGAGATAGATTCAAAGTCCAAAAACCAAATTAATTTTGCTGTGCTTTCTGTGGAAGGTGTTTTGATGCTAAAGAACCTTTCTTTATGGGGACTGTCCAGAGCTTTTGTTTGAGACTGAAACATTTCTCTGTGAAGTTACAGAACATATAAAACAAATACTAACAAACATGGAAAATGTCATGTGGTCTTGACACAGTTCTAAAACAAATCAGGGAGAAATAAGGAAGAAAACAATCAGTGGTACAAATTTATAATTTTCTAGAGTGTTGCATATAAGTTTTATTCCTTACCTTAAAAAGAAAGTAGTAGGACTAGAGAAGGTTCAGAGAAAGCTTGTCAAGAACATGGAAGGACTCCCATACAAGGAGCAACTACATGGTGAGGGCTCCTCAGCCTTGAAGAGAGGACTGCGGAGGTGTGAGAAGGACCTATAAAATCACGAGTGGCAAGGAGAAGGGAAATAGAAATAAATTGTGGTTTGTTTTGTTGATTTTTTTGTTTGTTTGCTCTTAAGCACAAGAATTGGAAGGTGTGGAAGGAAGATAGTGAGAGCTGAGTTTTTCAAAGAAAATAAGGTGGCTTTTCTCACTATGTGTTCCCTGCCCAAGAATGCTGTGGATAAAAACATTTATGTAGATTCAAGGCGAGAACTAGATAAATTCACAGAAGACTTTAAATAATAGCTCTAAATAAATTCTGTGAGCTCCATGTTAGAGGTGGGAAGTGTTCCATGGACGTGCCATTACTCTATTATAAACATTTTCTGGAGGTGGAAGAGGTACTTGCTTTTGGCCATTGATGGGAGACAGGATCCTGGTCTAGATCAACCTTTGATCCAAGTACAGCTTATGTTTAAATCATTTGCAGTCCATGTAAACCTGAGTTGGTAGTGACTGTTCATGCTGTAACTTAACAAGAATTATTGGTTGCTTTAGGTGCATTTGAACTATCTTTTAGAAGTGATGGATTTCCTCTTTAACAGACATTCATCCTGAGAGATAATCTTTTGCTAGCATCCTTGGATTTTAACTGATGCATATAAGGACTGTCAGCTGTGTAGAATTGCTAGGACAAAGTCCTAGATTTTATTGATATGATAAAAATTTCTGTGGTTATAGCTATAGAGTTGCATCTGTTGCTGCTTCTTTGGAACAAAGCTATTTCAAACACAGTAACTTTCTGCCTACCCCTGACTGTCTTGGCATAAGAGTATTTAAGCAGCCGTGAGTGCTTATAAAGTGCTATAGCTTGCCTCTAACGTCCTTATTCTGAGTGCATTTAAAGAAATTTCCCGTGCACTGTGGAGCTAAAATTGTCTGCTGAAGAGAGTTCTGCAAGGGAGCTTTGGGATATTTATTCTGTCATGAATGTTCTCCAGTATCTCTTTTCTATTTGAAAAGTGTAAGGTTGTCATCAAGTCTTAGGCTATTTCCTTCTCTGGAAAAATCCTTTTCATTACAGAAATAGTTCTCTGATTTACAACTGACAGTGAGATTTCTGTAATGGTATTTCTTGAGAAAAGGAAAATTGAACATGTGCTTATTCTTTTGAACACTTTATCTCTTAAGTCTCCTGATGCCCATCAGCAGTATGTAAAAGGAAAAACTTGTTCTTCATACTTCCATCACATATTTTATATCCTCTCTTAATATCCTCTCAGCATCTGTTGCTAGAAAAGCACTTTGCTTAAAACACAGATACTTTTGAGTAAATACTATTCATTAATAGCACAGGATAAATAGTTGGCATTGCCCTGGAAAATTATTTAGGATTTAGAGAGCCTTTATCTATTGCACACAGAAAGAATTCCAATTAAAATTACATTTCAAAAGAATTGTTATGGATGATTTCTTTTTATTTGAAGAAAATGTATTCAGTCTGTTCAGTCACTTAATAAAACAAATTTGAATACTTATGTGTGAAATCTGAAATAGTGGAAAAGTTGTGGTTAAATAAGTTTTTAAAATGTAGAGTGATTATTTTTCTGTTTTTATTTTGATTTTCTTTGTCTCCTCAGGACGTGAGATACCTGCAAATTTGAATCACAGCTTAGCTGATACTTCTAAGCCAACCATTGTACTGGACCCAGAAACAAATGAGGAAGTACTTCTGGGTGAGTTGGGGGATGTGACCAAGGGCCTTTCTGAATTATGTGGTAAGTATTTAGAATGATAAGAGAAAAAAAATGTTCATACCACATTGGGCAAAAAGAAGTGAGCTGCTGAAATATTCTTGCTCTTCTGGAGAAAATTCTGAGGGAGAGACCAAAAAGTGTCCCGATTTTTCAGCTAAATATTGAGTCTTGCTCTTGGGAGTGCTGCACTGAAACAATATGTAATGCCATATGATTTAATAAATAGTTACTGAGCAAGTAATAAGTCTGATTACATGTTGGCAATAATGTTAATCTCCTGGACTTTCTTTGTAGAATGTGTTAACACTGAAAGCAGTCACTCATGCTTCTTCAAAGATGAATCAGTAGAAATATATAAAAATCTGAATACATCTGCGTTTGCCACTGGTAGATTGATTTTGAAACCATTTAAAGAAAAGGGACACCAGTTTGTCCATATGGATACAATAGTAAGTATGCTTTTTCATATTTTTATAGAATGGACTATGTAAACTGAAAAGCTTAGAACGGTTAGAAGTAGCACATGAAGTTGACAGGTTTTTCAGGCTTTTTTCCCCTATAATGCAAATAAATACAGGAAACATTAATGAATCATTTCAGGTGTGAAATCAGTTATAACCAAATAAACTTGCTAGAGTTACTTTGCATGCACATTGCCCTGCTTGTTTCACAGTAAATCTATATGTCCATCTGCGCTCACTATCTGGATCTTGCAGGCAAGAGAGAAGTATCAAATAAATAGAATTGACCCCCACCCTCTTTTTGAGTTGGACATCTTATTTTTCAGCAGCGTGGGGAAAAAGGGTTGCAACTCTGCGAGCTTCTTTGTTTTTTGATCTTTGTTACAACATGTATGCAAAACAAAGATTATGATTTCTTTTAAATGTTTGCAAAGGAAACATTGCTAACCTGAGAACCCTTTGGCTTTCATTAAGGTTTTCCACGTTATCTGTGGCAAAATTATTGTTACCTTACATAAGACATCATATTATCTGACTACAGGGGACTACTTCTATGTTCCAGCAGGTAAGCACACATGTTTAAAACCAGTTTGTTGGAGACGGGTGAGACTGAATTAGCATGCTAGGAAGCAAAACCGAGCTGACTGATGGGAAGAGATAAAGTTTGAATAGAGAGGAGGAAAGTACAGGGTTATGAAGGAAGGAGTGTAACCCAACAGTGGATGTGGGCTGATGACCTAAACTTTCAGTGCAGTGATGCAAGCACTGCTTGTTTATGTGCGTCAGCCTCATAGTTGGTTAGTTTTTAATAACATTACCAAGTTCTAAGAGTGAGTTTCTCTTGATATTCTGGTTCTGTCCCTAGCTATAATGTTGGGGAAACTTCACAGACAGCTTAATATAGTGGTAGTTGATATAATTGTTTTGGTCACCATCTGTTTGCTTTTTTTTCTGCATAAAAGTATGAAAATCCATTTGTATCAGTTCACCATATTTTACACTTTGTGCTTGATATGTAGAAGGTGCAGAATGTCTTGTTGAATGGATTGTAACTTCATGTGGGTTTTTGAGAATTTAGACACCTCTGATTTTGCCCTTCTGAGATAAAAGTGGAATGAATTCCATATGGGAAGCTGTCCTTCAATGGGTAAGACGCTTGTCAGGAGAGTTTGGAGTAGCTGCTGTAAAGCAGGCTGTTCGTGAAGCTGAGGAGAGTTTTTGTACAGCTTTCTTGTGAAGGGGCTAGGTTAGAAAATGACAAGCTACAACTTGCTTTTCCATTAACTTTTAACCATGATGTCCTGATTGAACAATCATTGTTTAATTAATGCTTGGTGCTTTGAAGCTTTTTTTGTTTGTTTAAATCTTAAAAGTTCAGGGGTCTGCAGAGACAGTTTTGTAGTTTGCTTTTTGGAAAGCAGGTTATATAAACTGCTGAAGGTTCCATATGGCCATAAGGATCTGTACTTCATTTCCATTCTTCCCTGCTTCTTGATGGCCTGTCTCATTATGCCTGGATGGGCAATTGCAATGATTGTGTCAGGTGATTTTTTTGTAATTTATCGAGTGTGGCTGCATATGAATGGTAGGATGCTGCTCATTCCTGACATTCAGTGCTGTTTAGACATTTCTGTATTTGTGGTCATGTTAGTATGTAAATCTTAAGGTGAAGATCTGCAGGTAAGCTTCCATGTGCAGTTTTTATTGAGATTTTTTAAAGGAAAAAATGATAGTAAATTCAGTCACCTTAAAGTTTTCTTGTGGGTTTTGAGAGCTCAAGCCTGTTGCATTCTTTTAAGTAAAAATCTTCTCAGGAAAGATGCACTTACCACAGGTTAAAATAAATGACACTAGCTGTATTCCTTGTTATCTCTTTGAAATGCAATGACATGCCTATAAGCATGGCATCCTAGCTTAGGGGTTAATATCCCTTCTGTTAAAATATATGAAATAAAAATAGACTTGGCTGAAGACAGAACAGGACTTCAGAAATTACTGGTGGCTTCTAAAGAAAACTTTCTCTTTTTTTTTTTTTTGTAGGAAATGGATATAACATACGGAATCTTCTGAATGAAGAAAGTGTTCTTCTCTTCACACAACTCAAAAAAGACAGGTGAAGGACTTTCTACAGAAACATTCGCTGAAACACTTTTCAAGCTTTTGTATGTTTTGAAGTTCTTTTTACGTACACAAAGTGTTTGAGTGTGCCCAGCTTAACATTACAAATTAATACAGAGCACCTGAAATCAACGTAAGAAGAACTAAGAAAAAAAAACCCAAAAGAACCTCAGTAGTTTGCTATCAAACTGAAATACTGAAATGACATGCTGACGGGCCTCACTCTGCATCAGTTACCGTTCTTGTGTCATCCAAAGACAGGAAGATATATGTATAGATTTGTGGGTAAAGCATGTTGTTTTTCCAAATTGTATTTATATGCCTAATCTCCCTCAAGATGCTTAGCACTTGAAAAAATTTTGATGTCTTCAGCTAACATCTGATAGTCTTAACGTCTGCCTGGTGCAAACTGCTTAGAATAATCTCTATTTAAATGTAGGACCATGCTGTTCGGGTTCCAGTAATTGTTGTCTAGGAGATGGGCTGCTGGAATGCTTATGTGCTGGGGTTCAGCTGCCTTCTAATATGTTAATGACAGGCATTTCTTCCTTGTCTAGCAGATGTATGATTAGTGCCTCAAATCCGAATTGTAAAATGGGAGCTCTTAAGTAGGAGCTTATTGGTTGTATCTTTTGTATAGAAGCTAAGGCTTGATTAGCTCTGAACGTTGTGGATAGCTTTATTTTGTGTAACAGCAATAGGTCATTGACAAATGTATTACTTTAGTATCTCCTTTTGTTTTGTTTGCTGTGTTCCTGGATAATAATGAGGACCTTTGGGAAAACTGTAATTATACTGTATACTCCAGAAGCCAAGTCTAGACAGCAGATGGTATACATAGCATTTGTCTCCGAAGCTCTTCAAGGTTCCTTCTGGCTGAAGATAAACTACAGCTATTCTGGTAGGGTGCTTTCTCTCTGTGGTCACTGCTGTTCTAGAAGAGAAGGAGATAGGGAAAATTGAATTGGAATCGTAAACTTTAAGGACTTGAGGATTGAGTATTGACCTTGTAAACAGTCTTAGCCACGATCTTTATGCTAAATCTAGAGTATACATTAAAGTAGGAAAGGTGAATTGGCTTTAGTGCTTCCCTTATGCTTTCAACTGCCAGCTAACTGTGTGTCTGTGAAAGGGCTTGGACACCAAGATTACCATGCCTCTGTGAAAGACCCCTTAAACTGGAGAATTTGAGATAATTTTTTTAAACATTCTGGTTCAAGCAGTAGTTGCTATGATTAGTGCATATATAGGCTGACAGTGGGATACTTCAGAGAAGATACCTGCCAGCTTTGCATTCACGGCTAGGTCACGCTTAACTCTGAGAAGATGAAACAGCAGAACATGCCTATTGCCGTTTAGTGCTTCCTCTGTCTTGGTAAGAACTATTTGCTCTCAAAGTTCAGACTGCACAGAAGGACCTTTTTTATTTTTTTTTTTCCCAGCCTCAACTTCTGTAAGCACTTTAAGAGTTACTTTTCTTAAAAAAAAAAAAAAAGGTAATTTAGTTACAGCTGATAATAATTTGATGTTGGCAACTTTTCTAAATTTTGGGCTTGGGTTGGTCTCTTCAAGGTCAGCAAGATTAAAATATTGTCCCTTCAGTGTTGGAGCCGTACCAGCTACCAGATGGGCACACATGCTGTCTCCATTGCTTCAGGGGATCCCACCCACTAAAACGTTTAGTTTGTAAGTCTTTCAGCTCCTCAGGCCTGCAGAGGTCTGGAAAATTGCCACTTGGAAAACAGTACAGGGCTAGCATTAGACCAAAGTTCCTCTGCTCCATGCCCAAGCATGTCTCCAAGCGGTCAGGGCATGGATGTGGTGATCTCTCAGCCGAACAGCTCATTAGTTCCAGCTGAAAGGCAGAACAAGACCATTTTTCAGTTGTGTTGAAGGCCAGGGGGTTCAGAAGGAACATACCCTGCAAATTTTCTTCTGCATGACCTGTCTGCAGACTGGGTAGCAGAAGGATACTTTGTTAAGCAGTTAGGGAACATTATGGGCTACCGAGTTCATGGCCCTGAAAGAAAGTGTTGGGCATGTGTTGTGAAAACCTGCTTCTTTCCAGCAGTGTGTTCTACTTTCCTGGGCTCAGATGGGAGGTGATGCATTGCCCTTGTTGTGTTAGGCACCGATGTGTCTTCCCCCACTGCACTATATAGCAATGATTTGAGTGGATTTTCTTTTGGGTCATGAGTACATGATGAGAAATATATCCTTCAGGATGTTTTCTTAAGCAGAAGTAGTGTGTGCAGACCTTTTCCTGACACAAGCTGGAAAGGGGCAGATGTTCAAGTGCAGGTTTGAGGTCAGCATGCCATGAATGCCTGTTTGTGTTTTTCTAATTCTATGGCTGGGAGTATCAACAGAATAGGATGAATTTGGTAAAACAACTTTTTAAACTGGATGGTTTTGTTGCTTTCTGGCTAGTCGGTTTCTTGGGAGAAATGTCCTGTATAGTTTGTGGAGAACATTGAGTAGTTGGACTACATCTCAAAATGTTTGTTTGTTTGTTTAAGTAGCAAAAAAATTGCCAAGCCTGGTGATGTATTTAGGATGTTACTTTAGTTTAGCAACAATTCCAATATTTGTCACTAGATGGGGCTTGAAGCACAGCTGTTTGTCCTCGGCTGGCATCTGTGTTCAGTAGGGTTGGTTTTGGAAAGGGAGGACAAAGAATATGTTGCAGATGGATATAAATTCAGTTGAGTTCTGTTGCAAGGAGGTGTAAATCAGTTTCCATTCATGTTAGGCGTTGGCACTGAACCTCGTGAAGTTAATTCTATTAACATGTATGTTGTACTAGTTGCAACCACTTACTCAAAGTTGTTTTTTAAAACATTAGTGCATAGCAGGAGTTGAGTTGACCTAGGCAGTTCACTGTTTATCTGGATTACTTTTTTTTTTCTTCAACTTGACACTTGTGAAAAACTTGCTTCCATGTCATTAGAGCGAATGTAGTGTGAGGAGATGCAGGAGAGTGTTCTGAGTTCCTGGACTCTATGGGTGCTGAGTGGTGCAGGGTGGCAAACAAGACTAACTGGTCATTAGTTAAGAAGAAGCAGCTGGTGTTTCACCTCTACCTAGTCTTGCTTTGGATCCTGCTTCTTACATTTTTGTGCTTATCAGGCTACTAGTAGTTGTGGGCAACCTTTGGTGGTCTAATTTTTTCCTTTACCAAATGGGACATTTCTAAGAAAGAAAAAAGTCACCTCAGAAATGTGGGAATTTAACATTCTTCTTCCTGCATATGTGTGATCCTTTTTACCAGCATATTTTCTACTCTGCTGAGTCATCTAACTTCCACCAACTACTGTGATGGTTTCAAATAAATATGTGACAAAATTAGTTATACTTGGTAAGATGCTGAAGTAAAAGCCTGTACAGAGCATGTTGTGGTCTGTAGCTTAAACATATATTCTTAGGGATTCTATAATGTTATATGCCTGTTGTAACTTTTAAAACAGCTTTTAAATTATTTCATAGACAGTAATGGCTTTAGGTATTCAGCTCAGATGGCACAACTTTTTACTTACACTAGAGTACAGAACATCCCCTCTAATAGTAGTAGAGTTCTGAGCCAGGTTTGTGCTAAGTTGGGCCAAAGTTGATTAGCCAGTGTAACGTGCTGTGGAGTGAAGTTGGGAGTCACTGTGAAAGAGATGTGGCCTTTTCTGTTGCCTGTGCGGTACACATGCCGTTCCTGTATATTAATTCATTGCTTTCTGTCAACAGTAATTGACAGAGCTGGAAACAAAGGCCAAGTTCACGTTAGTACATACATGTATTCTGTGGTAGGTATTGTGGTAACAACTAGAGGCTCATTTTCAGGAGCTTAACTGACAATGTCCCACCACAATAAAAAGTCAGATTTTTAAGGGCTTTGACTCCCTTTGAAATAAATTACATTACTGGTTTAGTGGGTTCTTTTGACAATCTATCTTTTTGTAGTTTTATTTGGTTAGAAAGCTGTTCTTGTTTTACTAAACAAACCTTTTTTGCAGTTTAAAGTGGCAGAGAAATGGTTGCAAAACTGTCAGATATGTGTGCACATCCATATTTATACAACTTTGTAAACATAAAATAGGAGAATATGAGCTGAGTAATTACAGAAAAATAAACAGCACCAATAAAACAAACTATTGAGGCACATATACAATTCTTCTATTTTTCAGGTACACAGCTGAATTGTTTATCTGCAGATGATTTTAAATTAACATTTGGGGAATGCAGTAAACCTAAAGAGCTGTTTCCTCTTTTCATAACAGCTGAAAAGGCATTTCAGCATGAAGAAATATCTCTTACATTTCTACTGATGTATAGACTCTGTTACATGATGTCTTTTGTAATACAGGATTGGCTTTAAATGGTGATTGATTGCAGATAATACATCGAACTGAAGAATATGGAACATGCCTCTTTAATGGTATTGACAGCTGTTGTAACTGAATATCTTAGCCATTCCAAGCTGGTACGTTTCCTCTTCCAAGTTTCCCATCACTTCATGGATATTCACAGCTATAGTCAGAAGAGATCTCAAAGCCAAATGCTTCTCAGGTTGCATGGAAAAGCTTGATTTAGCATTTGACACTTGACAACAAAGTGATTCCTATGGTCCGATTCTAAGATGAAAACAGTAGCTGGTCATGAGTCAAAACAGATGGCTGCAGGTTTTTAGGGAACGAACACGTTAAAAGGAATGTCTGCAGAGCTGCTCTGTGTTCTGAAGCCCTCCCACAAAGCTCCTGTTCGGGTTTGCTTCATTTAAACTCCTGCACCCAAGTAAAGGCGCACACTGAATGTTGTAAAACTGCATTTACTGTGCACTTCTGCAGTCTTTTCTTGTTTGGAGCACAAGAGGGGCAATAATTGAAATGAGGAGCTAAAACAAGTGAAGTGTTTACTTAGTCTGACTGTTCAGTTGAGATGCAAATGTAAAAGTGTTCACAGAAATCATATTCATGTCCTGAGTAAGATCTTTAACTTCTCTTTGCA